AAATTCAAGAGATGTAATTATACGTCACTATATTTGACGTAAAAAATTACGTCGTCACAACGTGCAATATTCACAGAAAATAGTCGTTTTTATTTTATTTATTTATTTAATAATAAAAGGTTTGCCCCACGATACGATTTTCTCCAGTGTCGTCGTCGTGTTTACAAATACATAAAAGTATATGGGTACACAATACATCCAGACCTGAAACAATTTGTGGATCCCACAAAGAGTGGAGAGAAGAGACACATTACACTGCGCAAACCATACACATTGAGAACGAATAAAAGCGAGAAATATTAATGTAACTTCCACAAATGACATTTTAAATTCACGGAAAAGATATTGAAAATATTTTAATCACTGCTATTAGGGTTATAGTTCATGGATGGTGGTAATTTAAGTACACTTTTAATGCATTGTATATGTGCGTACTTGCGTTCTTTAATTAAATTGTTCTGTGGCATAATGTTTACAATGTGTGCGTGTCATGTACCTGTAGGTATGTAAAGGTTCAGGCTGTTGAACCCGAACATATTTTCTTTAAGGAATCTTAAAGGAACTGTATTCGATTAACATGTTGCCGCACAATTATTGTCCCCCTTGTAATTCGCAGCCTAAAGAATGAGGAAAGCCAACGCAATTTTCAAATTTAGAACAGGGTGAAAGTCAACAGAATAAATACAATACATTTATTATTGGTCGAATCAATTACATAAAACAAAAATAACCTGCCCCTTAAAAATAGGATTCCCTGTTCTATACCTACGCGATGATGATAGAATATAGTTAGAAACCTGCTACAAAACTATACATACATATTTTTCACAAAATTTTACAAGTTTTAATTCTTAAGTTTTAATTGTGCGCAGTAGATACAACATAAATCCAAAATTTTTGGTTCGATTTTTTTGTAGGTAATATTTAAACAGTCAACTGAAATGTCCTTTGACATTTTGTTTAACGTGTAGGTATTTTTTGTATTATTTATATATTTTCAAAAAGCACATAGGTCAATTACGTAACAGAAAAACCGCTTTAAGGATTGAATAAGGCTTTTATCGATAAAACCCAGGAGGTCAGGTCTATTTGAAACAAGGTAAACCTTGAATCGATTTGAGTCACTTGTAGGTATCCACTCACTTATTAGGATATCCGATAAGGCCATACGTGGGATCTAAAACCACAGAGACCTCAAGAGATAATACATAGAAATAATTAATAGATGCAGTTTTTGCTGAAAAAAATCCAGATACTTCTCCCTTCCTGGGCGGGAGGGAGTGTCAGATTCTTTTTGACCAAAAAACCATGCCGTGTCTTTTTATACCCATGTAACATTTTAGCGCTTGCACATGCGTAGTGTCGTCGCTATATGTATACCTATTACTTTTTTTTATGAGGGGAACATCATTAAGTTATATTTCTCACCCAGGGTGAGGTGAGAGAGAGTGTCAGACTCATACTGACTAAAAACCACTGCGTTTTTCTCTTGCTCCAGGGGGGTAACCATCCCGAGCGTACGGCGCGTAGCGTTCCGCGCGCACCTCAAAGAGCCAATAGACCACCACAGTCGGGGCCCTAAAGGCTGATGTTCAGCCGGGGTTGCAGGGTAAGCGCAATGCGGCACCGCGACCTCGGCCCAGAGCAGGAGAAGGAACAGGGGGGTTTTTAGTCAGTAAGAGTCTGACACTCCCTCCCGCCCGGCCCTGGGTAGGAGAAGTCATTTGATGTATTCCCCTCACAAAAAAAGGTGGGTAACCATAGTAAGACTGTTTTAACCTTACTTCAGTGAGGGTAAGAGACAGAGCTAGACAACTTGTATAGCTTTTTCTCATACCCACTCTGAAGTAAGATTAAAACAATCTTACTTTGGACGTCATGGTCAGCCCCTAGGCCGAGGTCGCGGTACCTTATTGCGCTTACCCCGCAACCCTGAACATTGGCCTTTTTGGCCCCATCCACGTACATGGTGTCGTCATAATATACCACTACAACACCTAATTGTATCTAAATAGTTTATTAATGACGAAATAGCTTTATCAGCACGTAGGAGCGCAGTTATCAAATCTTTTATCTCCATATTCAGATTGTGTGGTAAAAACCATAAGAATATCGTATTTCATAATATACGTATGCACTGATAACAGGAAGAAATTGTATTACATATTAGCACATAATACTGGGTAATAATAATGACGTCATTGAAATTTTGTAATGAACATGTAGGTACATACGTACACAGATAGATAGATAGGCATTTCATTACTATTATGACATGTACAAGTTTATTCCTGGCGATGATAACAACACAATAAATGTTAAAAATATTAAATACTGTTTGACCATTAATATATTGTGTACATACGGTTCATTTATTTACTTGTTTCCGCACTTTTATGTATAAACCCTCCGTTTGGATATGCTAACAGCATTTTTTTTATTTCACTTTTAATGCTGATAACCTTGGCAGATTCCGTTCAAGTATAACGTTCATGCCTATGTACGAAATGTGTCCAAAAATTAACACAAATTGATTGTTAAAACCTATTTGTCATTATATATTTTAGGCGAGCAAAAAAAGATTTACGCCCGGTTTCCGAAAGGCCGATCAATGTTAAAATCAATTTAATCTCTTGTCAATTCATCTGATTGGTTGACTGAATTATCAACAGCCAATCAGATGACTTGACAAGGGATTTAACAGGAGATTAGTTAATTTTAGCGTTGACAAGCCTTTCAGAAACTGGGTGTTAAACTCTATACTGTTGCTTTTTTAACAAACGACGAATTTATTTTTTGGAATTTGAATTAATAACGTATAAATGGATATCTTAAATAGAAGTTAGGTAGAGTTGTAAGTATGTGTACTTACTTAGGTACACAAACAACATAAAATTATTAACGGTTTGATATTAAATGGTGGGTACCGTAATCACTGCGTAGGGATGTAAAAACTAACAATAAGATACTTTATGGAACCAAAGTTTTGAACATAGAAGTCTAGCGCATACATACAAACTTATTATGTTACTTTTCAAATAAATATATAAAAGTGCACACACTGTCAACTCGATAGCTTAATATAATAGCTTTCATTAATCGGCTTTTAATTAAAAACTTAGAAAATTCTATCGATAAGCGCATAAAATCGACTAAACAATCGATCCGCGGTTATTCAGTCTTACATTAGCGACACCTTGACTCGAAAATTACTACAGAAATCTATTGAATTTGATCGATATTAATTGTACGCTACATATGAGATTAACAAAACTCGACTAAATAATTGAGTCGAAGAAAAAGCTGTACCTAAGTACGTAGCTATGCGCTACCTCTCAGAACAGAGCTTGACCACAAGATATTCTTAGATACTAGTTACCTTGTAACATGAATCATAACTGAATTATTGATCAATTAACTGCTACATTGTCTTACAGATTTACGTAGACATATCTATGGAAAATATTTAACAAGTTAATACATAAATAAAGTCTGGTATTTCCCCGATCGTGGGATTGTTTCTTTCCCAGTGTTGAATTTATGGATTTAACGAAACAAAAGAGTGCAACATGAAATGAATTAATGGAAGGAATTATTTATTTATGCTCATTATTGTAAATGTAAGGAGACTTCAATTAACATGTAAACATTGAATTGATATCCGGGTCAGGAAGTGATTTACTGTATTGTTCTGGAAATTAGTTTACATTTTAAACATCCGTAAGCCATGAATGGATTGACCAAATCAAGGCTTAAAGGGCAATGCAATTCTCGGAGACTCGCTGCAACTCTCGTATTCATGTTAACGATTAAGATATTGCAAGCAAAAGGAAGAGTTAATCCGATTCAAGTAAGGGACTATTTTTATTTTTTAGCTTTTATAACAATGGCATTAAAATTTCTCTCAAACAAAAGTTCTTCGCGCCAATCTTAGTAATTACTGAATAAATTATTAAAAGGAAAAAAATGGACTATTGGTCCATCGAAGAAGGAATAACTCATGCAAGAATCAAAAACATCATGCAACAGGAGCAGAGATGAGGGGAAAAAATGGTACGATAAATATAATATTAGATTTTAAAGCTCTTAAGCTTCTTTTACCACCTAAACCATAAGCAAGTTGCTAACAAAACAAACACTAAAGTATTTTTTACCAATGCGTGGTTTTACCGCAACGGTGATTCGGTCTACTTAAACAGGTTTCGTTTGAAGGGGAAATTCTGATCAGCTGTGGAATAGTACTGCATTATTATCGACCCGTGAGTAATTTGATCAAGTGATCATAGTCATTAAGGTCGATGCAGTGAGAGACAATGACAAAAAACATTAGCAGATGGCGCTCTCATCGAACTTAGTCAACCAAGAAAGTGATCAGTTAGAAAGAGGTGGAGAATGAAAATAACGTGAAAATTGTAAAAAAGCCGCTACTTTCTATTTAATTGTAATACAAAAGTACCTACGTAAACAATATTTTCAGCATCATCATCAACAACATTATCATAAGCACCAGTCTATAAGCGCCTACTGCTGAGCAAAGGCCTCTTCTCACACGGAGAAGGTTTGATCATTAAACAACACGCTTGCTCAAGGCGGATTAGCGAAAGCATACCTTATTAACTGCCATGTAGAAATTAGGTATATTTTTTTAGTTTTATTTGTTTATTTTTTGTTGGAAATTAAGCAGAATTCTTTAAATTTATATTAATTTTACAAAGAAAAGCATAGGTATTATACCACCCCACGTAACATTTTAATCAACAACAATTTATTCATAAATCACCTTTGTTATTTCTGTGATTCAAAGTAATTATTTTTTGTTGAAAAATTAATATTGAACGAGTATAGTTTGGCTGTAATAAAATGAAGTTTTTCGTCATAAGTTTTGATGACTAATTTAATACTGAAGTAATGCTAGTATAACGTTGGTAAGTAGGTACTTTTTTTCTATAGCATTACACATAAGAAGGCCACTCGATACTTTTTTAATATGATTCTTTTACTCACTCTGTATCTTCCGTCTGCGCGTGCGCAGGGTCAAGCACTATGTTTAGTTGCGGTTCTATTGTTGTAGCGCTGTCACTGGAATCGTTTACAAATTCCATATCCGGATATTTGGCAACTTGCGACATTGTTTCGTTTGTCGAAGATATTTCGACATGGTCCGATATTGTTGCTGTTTCCCGCGGCTCCGAGTATCGCCCCTCACAGGCGTCATTTTGTACACAACATGCCGAGGGTCCAAACGATACTATTGCCGATTGTTTGTCAACACACTCTAAACCATTCTTTGTTCTGAACGAGACTTTTCTCCAAGACATTACGATTATGAATTTAAATAATTTTTTTATTCACGTATAGTTTTCACATGAATTATCACTATTTGTCTACTTTACAAGTACTATAAACATTGTCATTCAAACAAGCCCGCGTACCGCTACAGCTACACTTGTCAGCTACACTTTACGCTACGACCAAGAACTCGATAAACAATAAATAAATTATAAATATTTCTGGAATGACAGCAAAGTATCGCGTGTTATCAAATATAGAACTGAACAGTAAATCGGAAGAGGACCAAGTTGTCATGTCTGCCAAACATGATATTTAAACGGTTTCATTATTGCATGGCTAATCAGAGTTATTAGTTGGCCAATAATCGTTAAAATGTAATTAATTGTTGTTATTAAGACATACCTCAGTTCGTTGTCAACTCAGTGACAGAAGCACGGTTGTATTGAAGTTGCACTAGTGACTGATCGACGCGACTCTTGTTCAACGCTGATCACCCGAAGGAATCCACCGGACGTTTGTTTGTGTCTTCAGGCCGAGCACACCGCACATGTTACCGCGCTTCACAATATTGGATGTCGCAAGAGAGCACCGCGGTATTTACACGAAATGACAAAAAAGCGTGTCCTCACAGCCATCGAATACAACTGTCTGTCATTCAATACGAATCGTAGCGTGGGTATACGCATACATTATCATATTTACGTCAAATGGTAAATAATGTAAACGAAGCGAGCTCGCGCTACTACCGAACGTCATGGAGTTGCTGAGTAATTTTTCCTAAGGGTTTTCCAGGACCATTGTCAATGACGCTCACCTTGCGGTTTTTATATTTTCATCATAACTTCAATATGGTAAAGGTAAAGCAGATAAGACAGATGTAAAGATTTTATTTTTAGATATGATCTACAACGATGTAGATAGAGGAAACAAGCGTGTGTAAACAAATACCTTATCAAGTTACATAGCACCTTATGTAATGTGCCTACTAGGATGAGTATTGAATACACTATTTTGCAGCATTATATCCCTCCTGACTGTTTGATCGTAATTTATTTGGTGATTTTAAATCACTAAATTATTTAATATTGTTTTGCTTATGTTGATGAACTATTTTAAAGACATTCCACCGATGATGGCGTTAATTTCATGTGACTAGATTTTTATAGACTGGACAATCTAGATCTACAACCTACTAATACTACTAAAACAGCCTCGTGGATAAAATTTTCGCGAGTAAGTTTGCTGAACTTTGTCCTCGTATGTAGAAAACAGTATTCATACGGGTTTCCGATGTCGTAATGATTTCAGATATTGACTCTTTCTTGACAGTAGAGTATATAATTTTTCCCCGAAAAAAAAACAAACCCCAAATCATCAACATTGCCGAGGTTGCAGGGCAAGCGCAATGAGGCACCGCGACCTCGGCCCAGAGTAGGAGAAGGAACCGGGAAAGGGAGTTTAGGCAGCAAGATTCTGATACTCTCTCTCTCGCCTTAGCCTGGGCGGGAGAAGACATACCTTGATGATATTCTCCTGACAAAAGAAACATCAAAAATCATCACCCTTGGACTATAGGTATGAATTCCTCTATAGAAGTAGAGGCCATTGCTATAATCCTCTCGGTGTAGAAAAAATACTATAATATTAAGGTCTATCCACTAAATCGAACAAAATGCGGCACGGTTACGGCGGGACGGCAATACCACCCTTTAGACAGTACCACCCTTTAGACGCTCACTTTTTTTGTTAGAGCACGTCACTGCTTTATATTCTCCGTCAATAGTCCCTTACTCGGCTCTATTATTCATCTCCGTCAACAGACGGACGCGAAGAGTCATTATTATCACAAGCCACCCACTTCAAGGAATAACTGATCCCGCATTTTTAATTATTATATACATAAGTACTTACACATTCTTAACACCCCACTGATTGTTATTGTCGACAATAACAATATTTATAAACATATTGCATGTGACAACTTTTGAAAGAATAAATTACTCCGATTTCGATTTCGAACCGAAGCTATTACTTATTTTATGAGGTAGATAATAGAACAACACAAATGTATTTAAGTATTGTACTTACCTAATTTAAGATCGTGTAGCCACTGGCTTAAAACGACCCCAAAACGGTAAAAAAGTTGAAGTATCTTTACTTTTTATGAATCACGATTTCAACACATTTTGAAATACAAACTGTTTTAACCTTTTCGGTGTCACCATATAATGTGTAGTGAATGCAGATGCATAGTATAAAAGGGGTTGTTTGGCTTGCATACAAGATGGCGTAGCTACAAAAAATGACAGATGCGACTGTCAACCCTACGGTTATGGGAGAACGTTCCTATGACGTCATTACTGTGTCACGGGTACCTTATAATTTCTCAGTTAGGTTAGGGCCGATTTACCTGGGGAATAATTATGACGCTGTGGCGTCAGAATGTTTGTATAAGACAGTGACAGCAACAATGTTATTCCTCAAATAAGATTTATCTGACTATTGAAAATTCAGCCCTTAATTAATAAGAATGTTTACATGGTACGGATCTTAATTCAAACTTTCAAGTAAAAAATAATGGAACTACTGAATTTTTTAATGAAACTTCATATTTTTATGCAATAAATCACGTTTCAAAAAGTGTACCTACTACCTAGATACTTTGGTAGGTAGGCATGAAGATTAACTCTTTCGCATTTTTTTGTATTATTGATCTTTGATCCTATACATACCTACCTGCAATAATAGGTAGGTGTGTATACCTTATATAAATACTTATCGAAATGAGAATAAATTTTAATTTTGTTTTCTTATTATAGTGTGTTTATCTTTGTTTAAACTTGTCTTTAAAAATAGTAAAACTGGTTTCATTATTTACTTGTCTCATATACTTATGTTGAAATAGCCACGTATAGTAAAGTAAGTAATATAATAATTATAATAAACCAATATACATGCAAGAACAAAGAAACAAACATAAATTAATGTTCAGAACACATTTCCATATAGGTATAAGCAAATGTTATAATGTACCTAAGCAATTGTTATAATGTACCTAAGCAATCTTGGTTTGTACGCATTCTGATTTCCTGAATATTTAAGTTTACCCTACCATTTGTCGTATTATGATTCTAATAAATCATAAAGGTTATCAATGAAGAAAAACAAGGAAGAGAAATATCGACAATGATTTTTTTTATTAATAGATACGCTTGGTAGCCACGAACTTTGTAAAAAATAGGCAACACGACATCACTAGTGCATTGTGGACGAAAGGTACCTAAATGTTTAGTTGCATCATCAGTTCCGAGGTAGAGGGCTCTCCGAAAACAATAGATAATTAGATCTAAAATTAATATTTTGATATACCTATGTAAAACATGTCTTAAACTTGTTTAAACATATTTTTTATGTGATAGGGCGGCAAACAATGTAGGTACCTACTGATTACCTGATGGTAAGCAATTGGCGCCGCACATGGACGGTCGCAACACCAGAGGAGTTACGTGTGCGTTGCCGGCCGAAAAAAGGGTTTGAAATTGTGCTAGTTTAGGAATTGGGGCAGGGGAAGAGGGATTGGGCCTCCGGTAATCTCGCTGAAACACAACCCTCTAGATGTTTCACAACGGTTTTCTGTGAGGCCCTGGTGTCACTCCGGTCGAGCCGACCAATTCGTGCCGAAGCATCCCCACACGCTTAAACATACCAATATGCTATAGGTACTACTTTGCAGTATCTGCCTACCTGTTCCATTGGATACTATGATACAAAAAGATATTAAGTACGAAATAATATTTGGTTCTAAAAAGTTTGTTTCAGCAATGAAGATTCAAATGCATTCTTCCGCTGTGGGTCGGCCAAGAGGGAGTGTCAGACTCTTACTGATTAGAAACCACTTCGTTGCTTCTTTAACCACGAGCCGGAGCGTTTTACATTATATCACGCTTTAATCCATAACCCCGATTGATGCTGAAAGTTTTGCGACCGTTTTTCTCGGCTCGGAATTAGTTAGAAGAATAATTAAATATTCTTACTTTTGAATACAGGTTAGTATTCTTATAAGTACAATCAACAAGTACAAATCGGTTTCTATACCTATAATTAACCAAAATGGACTATGGACTGATCAGTTTGATCTCCATCTAGCGTAACCACGTAATTCATTACCATATTTTCTTGTCATCGTCAAAAAAATAATTAAATATTTACTTAATTTATAAGCTTATTGTTTACATACTAAAATGTTTACTCAGCAGATATCGTTTATTGATTTATCTTTATTTATGTAAAATCAGGGTGTCCGGAATATCAACGCTAAATTTGGGTGAGGTGAGTGGCCAAAATTGAAAGAAGAAAGCTAAGCATCATTAAAAAGTTAGGCGTTAATAATTGTACATTTACGTATACCTACGGCATCTCCGGACACCGTAAGCGTGGGTCTGTGGACGATGAGCAAGGGTAGCTCGCAACAACTAGACCCGAGCGTACGTCGCGTTGCGTTCCACGCGCGCCTCAAAGAGCTAATAGACCACCACAAACGGGTCTGAACAGGGCCTATGTTCAGCAGGGGTTGCGGGGCAAGCGCAATAATGTTCCGCGATCTCGTCCTGGATCAGGAGCAGGAACGGGGAGGTTTTTAGTCAGTAAGAGTCTCAATTTCCCTGTCACCTCACCCAGGGCAAGATATATCATTTGATAATCTTCCCCTCCCACGTAAAGCATTTTATAGATAGGTTAAGAAAATTAAATGACCTATAAAATAATGTCTTGCTATACATACGTCAACATTAACATGGGTCCTATTTATCTCATAGCGCACACTCACAAGTATAATAACTGGCGAATGTGTATATAATGGTTATTGCTCGTACAGCACTTAAGTAATAGACTGTTACATAAATACGCCCATGAACCTGACCCCCAAGTTTGAAGTTGGAACTTTCGAACACGCTGTAGAAACAAGCTGTTGAGATTCACGTTCAAGGGCAAATGAAAGTAGGTTGGTAACTACGAAGGTCAGTAAGAA